ATCAGCTCTATCTCTTCAAAAGCTCTCACATGGCCACACGTATACAGTCACTGCCAAGGAAGCCCTACTCACTGCCTTCTTGAGGCATTACTGTTGTTTACGAAATTGAGAGGACGAAAAGCGAACGTCCTTCTCTTTAACCGGGTTTGTGGATATGCAGGATCTATTTAGGGGAGTTGGGAAACCCTGATCCCGAACGAATGGTGCACATGGGCTCATCTCTATTGCAAAATCCATGAAATGTGTAGGTTAATGATTGAATTTTGGTTTTTTTAGTGAGAAACATGTGTAGGATAGTAATTTTTTACCGGTCTATTGAATTACGACAAGTACGAAACCAGAATTCAGACGTTTATTATTTTGTTTGTTGATAACCGACATCCTTAATGTGAAGATTCAAATGAAAAATAAATACACATACGTTAAGTAATTGATGCTATTATCCTATTTTTATAATCTACTGACCTAAATCACAAGACTGCACACATCTTTTGTTGGACCAACTGATCGACCACAATAAGTTAATAACATAAACTGTTCTTACACAAAATATGTGCTGATCACGAAAGTTTTACAACAGTAAAATTAGTCATTTTTTTGCAATACATGTGTCTATCAAATAATTAACTGAATAAGAATGAGCTGATAACACAAACCGGACTTCTCTCTCTCTCACAATCTAATCACAGTTCAGTTGATTAGTCCACAGTGACGATAGTTCTGAATCGACCATTCAATTCAAACTCATTCGGTAATGATAACCATAACCGGGGCAAGGGAGGACTCGTGTCGACAACTTTCAGGTCAGTGGTTCATTGAGCATGAGATGTGACTATTGGTCTATATCCAATTATATATAATCATTACAGTATCCATACTAATTTACAGGGTTGATCAGAGAGACGGAGGCTTGATATTTAGAGACCATAAAATACAACTATTCACGAATTTTTTTGATTTAACGTAGATAATGAATATTTAATGTTGATGTAATTGTAAAATGGTATAGTTTTCTTCACTACGCCAATTATTATTATTATTATTATTATTATTATTATTAATAACGATACTAATAATAGTAATGGTAATGGTTATTAATAATAGTACTCATAATCATATAAAATATTTTTATCCAAAGAAATGTCATTATTTTTCCTCTAATCTAAATGAAACATCACATTTAGTAAATGGGGGAAAAACAAATCCATAATACTGCTTGTCATTACTATAATAATAGTAATAATAATAATAATAATAATAATAATAATTATTATTATTATTATTATTATTATTATTATTGTATAAAAAGTATACCGAATGAGATTAATTTTCTGCCATGGTATATTTTAATACTCATAATCTGTATCCGTTATAAACTCAGAATAAATGCATCTATTGTCATCATTCTAGGATTAGAAATATCATTCATAGACAAAGATAATTCATCGATAATTGAATGAATATTTTCTTGAAATTTTACATTTCATTACCAAATTAATTGTAAGTTTAACAAATTTAATGAACATCATATTCAATAAATTTTTTTAAAAAAACGGAACGTCTTTTCTTTTTTTTATTATTAAATGAATGAGTAAAGGAACCGATAATTTGTCAAGTTTAATGGATTGCATAGAAACAATGGTCTAGTTGGAGAAAACATTGTCTTGTTTTGTTTTTTTTTGTTCGGCAAAAAGATGAATAAGATATATTTCTAAAGAAAATTTCAATTTAAAAGGGGGTTTGTTTTTTTGTTTTAAAGCATTAGAATTTATATCTAATGTCACAAGCGGGGGGGGGGGAAATAAAATTGACATTTTATAATCGGGTTTATAAAAAAATTCGGCATATTTCTAGTTTAATTAAAATATAATAAGACGTGAATAAACTAGAATTTGGATACTTTGATTAGTTTTAGAATATTTTAGAAACATGTCGTTTAATTAAAGATCTTTAGTTTCCTTAGTAATTAATAGTGTGTTACATATTTGTATAATATTCAAAATTTCCGGGCATTTATCATTTATTTACTTTGGGGGGGGGTGCATAGAGGAGTATAATTGTAATTGAAGATCTCATTTCATGCATATGAAGTTATCCATATCTGTCTGTTATGAAGTTGTCATTGTAGAGCATGAAATCTCCAATAAAATTATATTTATATGTGGCACTTATCCATTAAATGGATGGATAAGTGTTGAATATTGGACATTTATTGAACATAGAAAAACATATAGAAAACCCCACATATCCATGGTTAATTTATTAATTCAAAATCATATCCTAATCATTATTTTTGATACCATGTTGAAAAATGGTAAAAGGTTTTTCATAGTCAAGATAGATTCAGAAGACACACTGAACTTGACAGTCACCTTTATTATGGATTGTTATTGATATTCAGGGACGAATTCTAGTTATTCAATTTTGGTGTACTTAGATCGTGGATACTGTCAACGGACTGATAGGAAATCTTACATATGGTGAGAACATTATCCTCGTTGAACAAATTGTTGGTTATTTCATCTCCATTATCATTTGCTTATCACCAGGTATAGATAATTGTACTTCGATTCGAGTTGTACTTTAAATGTGAGTGGTAGCTATACTATCCGATTACATAAACCGAAGTAGGTGGTGTGGTTTGCACCTACACAATAACCGCTAAGAAACTTCCAAGAAGTTTCGAATAAGAACTAAGTTCGAATCCAAGTGTAGATATCAATACTGGAGTGAACGTACATCCGGATAACAAGTCTCGGATAAAAAGAAACACTTCAACAAGCAAGGCAGTTATTGTTTTGAATAGTTCACCTTAAATACATTAATCTGTATCATTCAGATGGCATTTTGGGTATTTATTCAGAGTAAAAAATGTTGGTCAATAATAAACATGAAAATAGAATATCACGGACTAAAATCGACTGATAGACTACCAGAAACTTACGCCTGCTACCCCTTGTGGAGGAGCATAGGCCGACCACCAGTATTATTCATTCAACTATATCATGAGCAATCCTTCCCAGTTGTTTCCAGTTGCTATTCATTTTTCTCATGTTTACTGCCGACTCTTGACGCAGTGTGTTTTTTGGCCTTTCTCCTTTTCATTTTCCTTCAGAATTATAAGTTAACACTTGCTTCGTGGTGCAGTCTGATGATTTTCTAAACGTATGTCAAATCCATTTCCACTGTATTTTCCTTATTCCCTATTCAGCTCGATTCTGGTTTGTTCTCTCCCATACTAGCTTGTTGCTAATTATGTCCGGTGTATCAATTTGGAGTATCTTGTGTAGATAACTCTTCATAAATGCCTGTACTTATTGATGATGGTTGTGGTAGTTCTCTAAGTTTCAGCTCCGTACAATAGAACTGACTTGACTTTAATATTGAAGATTCTGACTTTTATATCGATTGACAGTTGTTTCGAGTTCCATATATTCCTCAGTTGTAGGAATGCTGCCCTTGCTTTGCTAATCCATGTCTTCACATTTGCATCAGATCCTCCTTGTTTATTTATCATGATCCCCATGTACATAAAACTTTTCAACACACACAAGAACCTAGCATATTTGAGCATTGATTCAAGTTGCCTTACTATATCAATACAGAAAGATGAAACTATCTAGACAAATGTTATAGTAGAAGTAGTTACATTATCACCGATAGTAGGAAACATTAGGAATAGACAATGTGATTCGATGAGAAATAATAAATTCGCCGAATAAACTGTATAAGTTTAAAAAAGACGAAGGGTGAATTCATGTGTGAAGCTGTGGCCTATTCGGAATCATTTATTAATTACTTATTCATTTGAACATATAAACGTTAAAAATGAAGAATATTTGAGCGAACAAATGTTGTCAATAACTGCATCATCAGGCTCTACAGTTATAAGTTCATAATTATAATATTTTACAAAGGCCAAAAATAAGGCATGTATTAGTGAATTTGGCAATCTTATGTGCTAAAAATGGTGGTCGTTTGCATCTGTTACTATATATATACTTCATAATTGTATTAAACATTGTATAAACATTAGTACAAGGAGGCACTAAATAAATATGCGCCACATTTCGTCATTCGATTTGTGTGGGGATTGGATGCTGCCTGGGAGCCCAAACCGAAGCAGGTGGTTTCCTTAGGCGGCCACACCCCGAGCCTTTGACTAAGAGATCTGATCCACAAGGTAGTGCGACAACGTTAGGAGATGCAGTCCCACGATAGTCGGTGACCAACAATAGGTTCATAAACCATTTTTCCCTTCAGAATCCAGGAGCCCATGTGCACCATTCGTTTGGAATCAGTGTTTTCCAGCTTTCCTAGATGTGTCCTTCATATCCACCAACCCGGTTAAAGCGACGGACATTCGCTGTCCGTCCTGTTTCGTAAACAACAGTAATGCTGCGAGAATGTATTGAGTAGGACTTCCCTGGCAGTGTTTGAATGCACGTAGCCATTTGAGAGCATTTGGAGAGGGAGAATTGACTCTCTCAACTCTCAACCGTACCATGGCAATTGAAGGAATTATTCCGCTTGAACTCTTGAGTTTTTAGTTACAATAATCATGTGGACAACAATCAGGTAGCCTGTAACTCCAAACATGGTTCAGTCCATTTGTTAATGACTTCATGAATAACTTGGTTACTAAATTATGTAAACATTATTTTTAAAAATATCTATTTTAAATGATTACTATTAGAATAAATATTTGATTTCAAACACCTTATAAACTATTCAATGATACATTTTATTAAAATATAGTAAATATATTTGGTAAAATAGAGATTGGGGTTTTGTAGATATTATAGTAATTTAACAGTTGAATTCATGAGTCAATTAAAGCTAGACCACCATGGAAAATCTGGATGCCAACTCAGTGGTCTAGAGGTTAAGCGTTCGTACGAGAGACCAATAAGTCCTGGGTCTGAATATCGCTAGGCGGGATCGTTGATGTGCACTGCTGAAGAGTCCCATACTAGAACGAAACGACCGTCCAGTGCTTCCAGGTTTTCCATGGTTGTCTAGCTTCAATTAACTCATGATCTCAACTACTGAAATATTATTTTTTTGTCATTTACCTCTTCAACTATTCAAAAGAGAAATCGATACTTTTTTTTTAAAATATATAGGAAATTTTTTTTTATAAATTAAATTTTGTACATACATTCCTAGTTAAATGTACCTTTAAATGATCACTACGTTTAAAACGTTTTAAACAAACATTACAACGAAAATTACGTTCACCAGTATGTGCACGTCTATGACGTGATAATTGATCAGCACGTGTAAATCTTGCATTACAACCAGGTTGATTACATAAATGTGGTTTAGCACCAGTATGTAAATGATAATGTTCATTTAAATGAGATCTTTTATAATATGCTTTTGTACAATTTGGATAAGTACATTTATAACGTTTTATACGTGTAATAGATGAATTTTCATTTATTATATAATTTGATTCTAATAAATTTTTATTTGATTGAAATAATATATTATTTTGATTAGTTATATTATATGTATTCAATGTTGATGAATAATTAGAATGAAGAAAAGAATTCAAATATAAAGTTTGTTGATAATGATTTGTTGTTAATAAGTAGCGTAGAATACATTGAGTAGCTACTCTAAGGTATATTAATGTTGGATCTGAAATAGTATTATTACTATTATTATTATTATCATTATTATTATTATTGCTATGATTATTATTAACTAACCAATCATTAATCCAATTTTGTATCTGGGGATTTTGACGTTGTTGTAATATATTAACATTTAAATCCATAGGAAATAAATAAGAGATTAAATTTGAATAAAATTGACTATTATGTAATATAGTATTATGATTTAATTGTGGATTAATATTTAACAAAGAATCCATCATAAATGAATTTGAGCATAAAATATCCATTCGATTATTATTTATTAGATAATTTAATATATAATCAAGTAAATCCCTTCTATACAATAAATTTGTATGAAGAATATTATTTTGATTTGGTATTGTAGGATTTAACGATCCAGTGGTATTCATCTTCCTAATAGTTGAAGTATTTTCTTTGACCTTGAATACATTCGATAAGTTAATGATGTGGTCATTTTACATTCTCATCTTTTAGTATAGTTAATAATGAATAAAATATTTCTTGGGGGTGGTGCATCCTATTTACTTTCCACTTGACATTTATTGAAAATATAATTTTAACACAAATAACCTATTCGCTATTTCTCACCTACTATTAATAAAATCCACGCTTCTGATTGGTTCATTCTAGGTCGAATATGTCTACTTTATTTCTAATTCAAAGGGATGATGGTACTATTTTCATTTTGTATTCTAGTTACAGAATAAAATGGCTTTTATGTAGGGGAGGAGGAGGGAAATCAACCAAACAAAACACATCCCATTAAAATTGAAACTACCGGTTACTTTTATAATTGAGGAGATAATTTTGATTGTACACCAATATGTTGGATCGGAAATGATGATATATTGTTTTGTGTTTAGAAATGTTGCATTTGGAAAAAAACAACAAAATATAGCCTAATTTGACAATTATCTGTGTATTTAGTTCTGTATGTATGTCTATACACATATTTGTAATAGAGGTTGACATTAATGCCCACGACAATAAAGATTCCCTACCACCTGTTTCTCAAAAATTGTAGTGTGTAAAAAAAAATTTATTGATCGGTGATTGGTGTACATGTTTTGCAAGTGTGTACTGAAGTGAAAATGAACAAACATTTTGTCACCTTTAATAATTGTGTTATTGGTCGTAAATTGTTCATCTCTGTAATCTGATTAGTTGAAATTGAAATCGCATCTAGAGCTGTAATTGGATGTCAGAATTTTCATTTTTTACATTTGAAATTTAATGATAATGAATAATTCTTTTTGTGTAATCTTAGTCTTGTAAGAAGTTTAGACATTTCAAGAAAAAAACACCAACTTAAGTGCAATCCTACTGTTAGTGAATGTGTATTGGCATAAATTTTTGTTTTCCGATCAAGTGATTTAATGTCAACCTTCAATTGAAGTTGTTAGTTATGTTGCCACAATTACTTATATGTATCACATTAAAAGAAAGTTTATTGAAAAAGGAACTGAAAATCGGTTTGAATATTTGATAAAAGTTATTACTGAATTCGGTCGGTTGTCTAATGCTAAATACCCAATTAATAAACAAATTATTACTGAAGTGTGTACATAAGTTTTTTAGTAACACATGGTCTATTAATGGAAGAAACAAATCAACATATCAATAATTCATCATGATAAATTACTGATTGCAATATGTATAATTCAGATGAAGCAACCGTAGACCATCATTTAATGAACGGACTTTGACAGTCTATGAAAGTAGCAATACATTTTCCGAAATAGGCACTTAATATTCAGTAAACGTTTATTTTGTAAATGGTCATTCATAATGAGAATTAGAAAACGTTAGATTTAAATGTGGTTAATTTGGAAATCCATTGAAATACGGTTTATCGTTTTCACTTGTAAATTATTTGCAGTTCTGCATTTTAAAATTAATTTGGTCGCAATAAAAAACTAGTGTGTTTAATCAGTCATGTGTGAATATTGTTAACCGTAATATGAAACCTGAATTATCTAGACATTACGAATGTAACCATTTTTGACAAGCATTTGAAATATCAGTTTGATGAAGTGTAAATGAACAAGCCTACGTCGTCTGAGTGACTCAACAAATATCTATCGACATTAAACGTATAAATATGAATAAGGTCAACTGTATCAATGAACATTTACAATTTGTTATTATTATTTATTGTCCTTATGATCATTATTATTATTATGTCAATTGACAAGATTCAATTCTCATATTATGTATTTCATTGACACAAAATTTTTTGCATTTTAAATTTTCCTATAATGCTCTTCCACTTATTGTGACTGAACACTTTACTGCAAATAATCCAGACCATTATTAAATGACCTTTCTAATTTACAAATATTACAATTTGTAAGTATATATATATATATATATATATATATATATATATATATATATATATATATATATATATATATATATATATATATATATAACAGATGCAAACGTTCACCATTGTTAACACATTACATTGTCAAATTCATTAACGCCATGCCATATTTTTGGTCTTTATAAAATATTAAAATTATGGACTTACAACTGTATAGTGTGATTGTACCAGTAATTAATAGTTATATAGGTGTGCAATAGAGGTATTCAAATGATTCAGTCTAATAAGATAGCAAAATATTACTTTGATATTTAGAATACTTACTATGTGGTTAGTAGTTTAGTCCAGAATTCGCACTTCATTCTGTTGGGATTTTGTCAGCTAGGTGTACCTTCTACATCCCATTGTTGATATTAATACTAAAGCTCGAATCTAATATCTTTCACTCAAACCACAACTCGTTTTCCATAAATCTGTCGATTTTAGTTCCCCATTAACTTGTATAGTGTTTATGAAGTTATTAGTAAGGGTTTTAAATCTCGTTATTGATATTAAAGCCTTCAATCACCCCGTCTTTCTTTGCATATATACATACTGATCAGATTGGTACAATAATTCCTTCCGCTTTGTTTTCAAAACAAGTGTGAAAAATTGAATGAAATATACATCTGAGATTCCACTTCTGGCTAAAATCCAATTTTACTAAACACAACTGGTTTTTTGGAAGTATTTTTAATTATAATTTTGTTGGACGATTATTAAGACACTAGATTACGATATATATATATATATATATATATATATATATATATATATATATACGTAACACGTGGCCCAACCATCGCAGTCAATGAGGATTCATAACCCCATCAACTGGTTTACCATCATTCCCTAATATCCTGTGTCTAACCTCACTATTACTTACCCGATGATACCAGCAGATGCGAGCAACATTTCCATGACATCTGTGACTAGATATCAGTAACTTGCGAGTATCTTCTACACTTAATGACCATGTTTCGCAGCCGTACAGTAGAACAGAAGGAACTGCTGCGCGATATACTCATCCCTTATTTGATATAAGGATATCTCGCCTTCGCCATAGGTGATGTTAGTTGGCAAAATCCAGACGAACTTTTCGAATCCGTACCGAAATTTCGTTAGACACCAACCTATTAGGGCTGATCAAACTTCCAAGACAAGTGAGAAACAGTCGCAAATATTACCAGGTTACAATTACATTTAAGAAGTATACAGAATGCTACAAATTTGTGCAAATGCTTAGAGGTGATGCATAGCAACTGAACATAATTCTCCACATTTCCAAAACGTTAGAGAATTAGCTACTGAATATTATTAAGTAGCATAGTTTAGCATTCAAAGAATTATCGAATTGGAAGGTAAGTTCACTAGACAAGATTAACGTAGGATAACGCTAAGGAAGTTCAGCCATGTCGAGCGTGAGGTACTTTTATTCAATGGAGGTGGAAGATGAGAGTATAATATAGTATGTTGGTTGAAGTTGGACAGGCACATCATCGGTTACTCGCTCAGTGGTTGAACGGTTACCGTGCGACATTCATATCCTGAGTTCAACACCGACAGAGCGTATGATAAACTCTGTTTTAGAGGAACATGTTACAACGAAGCAGCCTTATAGTGGTTTCGGTTTTTTAGTGGTTGTATAGCTTAGGTCAATTTGTGATGTAAAATGTGAAACTCAACAATTCCCCATAGCGCTCATCACGCTTAGCTTATGCCTTTACTGCAAGATGGTTACAATCAAGTTTATTCACACACAATGACACAGTTATCGATCTTCCTTACCTTGATGATTTCAGCTTTAGGAGTATGTGAGCACCACATGCTTTTCAACAACCTCAATTATAGTTATATATTTCTTGCTCCTCTTCAGAGCGATAAAAAAGTAGCCAAATTTTTCAGTATTACACAACCCTTTACATAGATTTTCGACTTTTAAAATTCTATTTTCGTGCCCTTCTTAATCCTCCTGTTATGTCCCGATAAGCATGATGAATTGTAACCTTTGAAATCCATTTATGGACGAATACTAAATATATATTTTTATCGTATAATTGTTAAATAACTAAACTATGAATATTCATATTCTTCTTATCATAAACTTTATATTGACTTATGAACTATTATTATACGTTTCATCATTCTTGAATCATGCCCTGTCTATTAATCACTACCTCCCTCATTCACAGCCACTTTTGGCCAAATATTTTACAAATGTTATTTTCTATTTTATGGTATGTTGTGGTCTGTTTGGTTAGTATATAAACCCCGTATGCTTGAAATAAACGATTCATATTACAGAGGCTGAGATTGGTGTTCTGGAGTTAACTGGCTGGACTAGGCGGAAAGCAGGGACAATCAGGACTCTAGACTGCTTATACGGGTTTACGCATCATTGATCCGATCGATAAATCACTACTCTCTAATTGGCGGTATCGTTACGTTATACATTAACAGGGCACTTAGGCCACAAGTTATAACACCTCCACTTCTACACTATTTAAGAATTCCACCTATAGGTATATAACTAATTGTCCAGGTAATTTACTGCAATACTTTCATGATTACTAAAATTCACTAAGAAAATTTTACATAAAGAAACTAAAAAACAACACGATTTGTATATAAATTATGTAAATATGTTATCGTTACACTGATGGATAAAACTAGTATTACACTAATAAGGAATAAAAGAGGACAGACATGGAAGAAAAATGAAATACTCAACTAGTATGTTAAGAATGATAATAAAATAACTATGCAAACAACAGATAAACTATCATGTGGACAGATTGAGTCACATTTGACAATCCCCCACCACTCACAGTGCATCCATGTGGACATGACAGTCAGTCTGGCACTCGTTCTGTAGCCACAACTCCACAGACAAACTCACCACTGAAACACACAAACAACTGCGTGTAGACAGCGTGCACTCAACCATCTGCTTGTACAAATCCCCATCGACACGATTGTTCGGTCTCCATCTACTCAACTTTCACAATTCCACTTGTCTCACTGACCCACTTCCATACTGCCACGAATACTGACCACACTAAAACAATTCATTCACACACACTCTCATCCATTCAACACGTCAACAATCAATCAATCAATCAATAAACCAAAAAACCAACCGACTAACCAACTAACTAGCCATA